CCTGGCATAAGTATATTGAGCGTGAGCAACCAAAATGTGCATGGACTACGCCTAGGGTTGAAGAGCGAAAGTTCATACAAGCATGTCTCAGAAATGCATGTGAGATTAGGGTTTTCTCTTACACTATGGATGCTGCCTCGTTGCCCCAAGTTCATGATTGTCTATGGCTTCTTCCTCAGATTTCTGGGCTTCTTCTTCTTCTGCAAGGATGAGAAGGCCAAAGGGGAAGATCATGTTACTTTCAGATTCGCTAGTTATTCAAAGAGAGACGTGGTTTGAAGGCTTAAAAGATACAAGATCAGTTTCAAAACTGTATTACGTATGTATAGCAGAACTAGACCAAGCTCATTGGCAATGTCCTCATCAATCATCTGAGGCATTTCAAAGGTTCGAGCATCACTAAAAATTCTGAAGCTATATTTGAAATTAGTCCCATCCTTTACCTTAACAGGTACAACCTTGGATAAACCACAGAGGATAAACTTTGGGAAAAAAAGGTTCTGAAACTGAGAAAGCGCAGTAGTTCGATCACCAAATAGAAACTAAGAATCTGAGAAATAGAACTGATCGTAGCAACAATGACAAAAAATATTATTATGTGCATGAATCGTCAAACGAAACCTTGAACATTGAATATTATTCTACTTTTACCTCGTTTGGTTTCAACTTCTCACTTACATTGTTCGTCTTCTTCCTGCTGCGTCTTCTTCACTGGAGATTTCTTCTTTACATTGCCATGAACAGTCGAACAGGCCACTGCCTTCCTCACCGTGATGTTTACTTCAAACAAAATAAAATTTTTCTACCATTACTCTGGTAATTCCTCATCTTTTCTGTCCTTTTTAAAGTCTTCACCTTTTTGTCAATCTTCTTTTATGCCAACATCAACTTTTTTAGTATGAGACTTGATCTACCTTAATTTTGCTAAAATTACAAAAACCTTCCAAATATTGTCACGACCTTAATTTTAATAAATTTCTTAACATTTCTAATAATATTTTCGTAAGATTTCCAAATGTGGATACCTCTCCCAATAAAGATTTAAATTGGTCCTTAAATTTTGTTTTGACTGTGGTGTCCCTCCGGGATGATAAGTGGTGTGCATTCATATGCCACTTGAATTTACTGTTAAGTAGCATCATTAGATAGCAAACAAATGTAACTTTAAACATATAAAAAAATTAAGAACTTGTGAGATGCAACATAAATTCATGTATTATTTTGATAAAATGTCAGTCCAGAAGTTAATTGAACTTTTCAATAAAAGAGATAAAAATAATGAAGTTGACTATAATATGTTAAATACAAAAACAATAATTTTAAGTCAATAAATTAATTTAAAATTTCAAATATATTTTTTTATTCAAATGAGATTAAACATAAATTCATGTATTATTTTGATAAAATGTCAGTCCAGAAGTTAATTGAACTTTTCAATAAAAGAGATAAAAATAATGAAGTTGACTATAATATGTTAAATACAAAAACAATAATTTTAAGTCAATAAATTAATTTAAAATTTCAAATATATATTTTTTTATTCAAATGAGATTAAAAATAGTTTCAAAATAATGATAGAAAAGATCAACTTATTTAACGAGCGAATGAATAAATAGAGGGATGTTATTTAAAATACACACCTCACTTGCCACCTAGTGAGGTTAGATATGTTTTGAATTTTTTTAAATCCTAGTTGAAATTTAATTTTTGGTACATTCACTTGCGAATGTGCTTTTCTCTCTCTCTCTCTCTATATATATATATATTAATATTACCTGTTCATTCAAATTATAAAAAATAAGCTGAAATTTAGTAGATTGACCACCTATGCCCAATGTCCTAATGTGTAAGGGATTGAGTGAAAAATGAGTCCAAAATTCAAGCACTGAGTCGTGCCAACCAATTGGGTCATAATTGAGGTAAAACACATCCAACCTAATAAGAATCAGTCACAAGTTCAAAATGATCACTTGGAAATACCTTGAATTACTCTTAAATATGAGTGAGTCAAAAGTTAAAAATTAAAATATTAATTTTCTCATACTTCAAATTAATGAAAATAATTGAAAGGAATAGTAAAATTAATCTTCACGTATAATATATCCTTGATATGTACCTTTTAACTAAGGTGTTTATATTTTCTTGTGCATGGGTGATAAATCTTATAGTTTCTGCCTTTGCAATTTATTCAAGTTTTAATAAATAAATTTACTCAATAAATCTTCATAAATATTAGTAGTATAATTGATTCTCAAATAAAAAAAAAGTTTGCACATTCTTTCTTATAACAAACCCTTTCAAATTTCATGAAAAATGAGTGAATATGTAGTAGTATGAAGTTTTTTGGTGCCCCTTTGATCATAAATACAAGTGACTTTCCTTCACCTGACATTTTTGTTGGATCCAGAGAATTTCTCCAAACGCGTTTTGGGCTTTATAAGATTTCCTACTGACAAATTATTCAAATTTTATCAAATAAAATTATTTAATAATTTCTTTATTATTTAATGTTACATGATTAAAATTTTGAGAAAGTGGAAACGCGGTTGGCTTACTGGCTAACTTTTTCCACCTATGGTAGACACGTTGATTAACTATATTTCCATGGAAAAATGAGTCAACTACACAAAACTTGTTGAGGTTTCTTGGTCCATCCTCTCTTATTTTTGAAAGGTCTTTTCAATATAAGGGAAAACTTTCCATATTAGAAAAACAAAAGTTTCCTCATCCCATGATATTTTCACTACAACTTAGTATGGAAACCCAGACCGGTTCAACCTGTTTAACCAAAAATCGACAAACCGGCCAAGTAATTAGTCCTATTGAGCATGTAGATTGAAATTAAATTAATCCGAGAGGGTGACCTGGTATAAACCGGACCAACTCAGGAGCAACCCAGTAACCAACCTGCTTTGCTGGGTTAACTTGGTTGCTCTCTTTTTTTAAATTAAAAAAAGCTATTTTGAGCCAAAAACTTTTTTTTCCTTAAGCTGTTGATAACTATTAGTTTAGTGATTAATAGATTGTGGGTAGGAATATTTTGTTATCATATATCTATTTTGATAATTTGCTACGATTAATCTATAGTGATCTTTTTAATATGATACTATGATGTTAATTTGTCAAAAGAATTGTAAAGAATGTTGGGAAAAAATTGTAAGTATTTGATTATTTTGTTTGTAATTCAAGGCAATGAACTAATATTTAGTTCTTAGATGGTAGGATGAAAACTTAAATTATTTTTTAATTTTTTATTTCTCATTAGTTTGATCCTGATTTGACCCACTGATCCTTGACGTATTGTCTCAACTAATCCGGTTTTCATTACTTTGATTTTCACTTGAAATAAAACAAATATATATATAAGTTTTATTTTTATTTACAACTAAAATACTTTAAAAAAATTGGCAGCAATAATTTTAAAAGAATAATATTTCTAAATATAGTTAGAAAAATATTTTTACGTATATACTTTGTTGTTGTTTTTTTTTTTGGCCAAATATAATTTCTATTGATAAATGCTTGATAATCTATTAGTTGTTGTGTCAGACATAATTATTATAATAAAAAGCAAAATAGTATTTAACAGACACAACAAGAATCATGGAATTTTCTTCTCCATCCCTATTAGGCCAAATGCCTTTTCAATTTATGAGCAACTTTTTTCACATAAGAAAAGTAAAAGATTCCTCACCGTGATGTTTACTTCAAACAAGATAAAATTTTTCTATCACTACTTTGGTAATTCCTCATCTCTTTTGTCCTTTTTAAAATCTCCACCTTTTAGTAAATTTTTTTTATGCCAACATCAATTTTTTTAGTATCAGACTTGATCTACCTTAATTTTGCTAAAATTACAAAACCTTCTAGGTATTTTCGGAACCTTAATTTTAATAAATTTCTTAATGTTTCTAATAATATTTTGATAAAAATTTAAAAATATTTGTTTTAGGTACATGTATTCTCTTATTGGAAGCAACTTTTTTTTGAGCTATTGTAGAACACTAAATGTAGATACCTCTCCCAATAAAGATTTAAACCTTGGTTTGCCATATTAGTTCTTAAATTTCATTTTGACTGTGGTGTTCATTTTTTTTTCCCCAGTGATAAGTGGTGTACATTCATATGCCATTTGAATTTACTGTTCAAGTAACATCATTAGATAGCAAACATATGTAACTTTAAACATATAAAACAATCAAGAACTTTATGAGATGCAACATAAATTCATGGATTATTTTGATAAAATGTCAGTTCAGAAATTAATTGAAGTTTTCAATAAAATTAAGAGATAAAAATAATGAAGTTGACTATAATGTGTTAAATATAAAAACCATAATTTTAAGTCAATAAATTAATTTAAACTTTCAAATAAATATTTTTTTATCCAAATGAGATTAAAAAAAGCGTCAAAATAATGATGGAAAAGATAAACTTAACGAATGAATGAATAAATAGAGGGATGTAATTTAAAATACACACCTCACTTGCCATATAGTGAGGTTAGATATGTTTTGAATTTCCTTTTAAATCCTAGTTGAAATTTAATTTTTTGTACATTCGCTTGTGAAGGTGCTTCTATATAAATATAAAAAAAAATATAAAACCTTTTCATTAAAATTATAAAAAAAAAATAAGCTGAAAGTTAGTAGATTGACTACCTATGTCCAACGTCCTAATATGCCTTATGTTGATTTTTTAGCTTTTTTTTTTAAATTTTACTTTATCTTTTTTTTTTTTTTTTGCAGAAGCTATTATTCTCAACTATAGCTTTGGCCAAGAAGCAACGAACAAATTGGAGACCCTTTCTTCAATATAGCAATAAGTTATCAAACACGCACACATACACACACATATATATAGAGTACACATTCTTGCTAAAAGCATAATCCTAACAGGCTTATATTATTCAAAAGCCCAAGTGATTAACGATAAATAGAAGTAACAACATACAAAATGCTTGTAATAAGCCATAACTACAAACACACAACTCTTTTTTCCCCCTTCTCACCACCAACAATATGGAAGTTTGTACCACATGCAGTCTATGAACTGAAAGTAAGTGTGCTTCCAGGATCTACTGTAGAGCAAAGGACCAACAACTATCCAAAATCCTAAAACAAATCCTAGAGACATGCTCACATAAAACCAATTGACCCCATTTCTCTTACCTTCTTTCTCATCATGGCGATTTGGAATATTCTGCAAATCATCGCAATTCTTTGGTAGTGGAGGACCACAGAGATTGTTGCCCACAAAACTTGATGCTTCGAAGCTTTGCAATTGAGTGCCTGTTGGAATTTTTCCCATCAACTTGTTGAATGACAAGTTCAACTTGCTCAAGAAATTCAAATTGGACATGCTTGATGGGATTTCACCATAAAGCTGATTTTCTGAGAGATCCATTGACTCCAACCATTCCATGTTTCCAATATTTTGAGGAATCTTACCACTCAAAAGATTGTTTGACAAGTTCAGGAAATGCAACCCCTTAAGAGACATAATTTCACTTGGCACCTCCCCACACAATTTATTACCAGAGAGATCTATGCTTGTGACGAGGCCAAGCAAAGTATATACATCATCTCTTCCTTTCAGCTCTAGAAGCACACTAGCTATAGTTCTTGTTATACTACCATTTCCTTTGTCATAGATGCGCGATTCTAGAGTGGTATTCCTCACTAGCATAACACTCAATTGATTGAGGCATTTTGGTATTTGTCCTATCAAGTTGTTCTGTGCAAGATCCAAGATATGTAGCGATTTCAAAGAGCATATTTGATTGGGAATCTTACCATTGAATTGGTTTGATCTGAGGAGAAAGATCTTTAAATTTAAGAGAATGTCTCCAACCCATGGTGGAATGATTCCTGAAAATTGATTCTCTCTAAGATCCAAAAATACCAAATTAGTACTATTCTTGAAACAAACAGGAAAATTTCCTGAAAGAGAGTTGTTACGGAGTTGCAATGAGGACAGCCAATGCAAGGATCCCAAGGATGTGGGCAACTTCCCATTAAAATGGTTATTATCAAACTTGACGGACATTAGATTATTTGACCACATCTTCCAACAGTCAGGTATTTCACCTGACAAATTATTTGATGCTAAATTGAGATAATGTAACATTATTGGATCTTCCTTTTCCTGACATAAGAAGGAGGCTATGGATCCAGAAAACCAATTATTTGAGAGGTCTAAGTCTTGCACAATTGGTGATATGTGTGGTAAAGGACCACTCAAGCGATTTGAGCTTAAATCAATGGCAGACATATTGATGGGATTCTTCAATGTATAAGAAAGCTCTCCATGGATATCATTGTTAGAGAAATAAAAAGAAGAAGCATAGGGGAATGCACCCCACAGCCATGTGGGGATAGAATCAGAGATGTTGGTGTTAGCTATGGACAACTCCTCAAGATGTTTCAGTGATCGAATCCATGATGGAAAGTCGGGACCTAAATGCCATAAGTCCATGTTCAAGGAGGTCAACTTTTGAAAAGATGGCTTCCAATTGGGACCTACTTTTAACGTAAGTCCGTTTCCTGATGCACTGAAAGAATTTAATTTAGCGAAATTGGCGAGGTGATGCTCATTTACAATTCCATGGAAAAGATTATCATCGATATAAAGTACTTCTAATTCAGAAAGTGATTGCAAAGCATCAAAAGGATTCCCATCAAATTTATTTCCCCAAAACTGAAAATATTTCAAAGAGGTAAGATTTCCTAAAGATATAGGAATTGCACCTTGAATAGAACTGTCAGAGATAGAAAGGTCATGGAGATTTTTGAAAATTCCAATTTGGGCTGTCAAATTACCATAAACTTTTGAACCACCAATTGACAAAACCTCGAGTGTGTGAGAAGCACAATTAGAGATTATTTCTATTAACCTAGAAACTTGTTGATTGAAGTTATTGTTAGAGAGACCAATACTTCTTAAGTTACAGAGATTGCTTGAAGAGTTTGGAAATGGCCCTTCCAATTGATTGTATGACAAAGCAAGAGTAACCATAGAAGTCAAGTTTCCAATTGCATGTGAAATTGTTCCATGCAAATTGTTTGAAGAAAGATCAAGAGACTTGAGATGGTTCAAAGTATATAAGCAATCAGGGATAGAAGAATTAAACAAATTTTCAGACAAATCAAGATCTTCAATGAGAGAGAGGTTATGAATACCATTTGGGATGGATCCTTGCACGTGATTATATCTTAATTTAAGTGAAACCAAATTCTTTAGTCAAAAAATCCACTTTGGAATGGAAGGAGATCCAAAATCAAAAGAATCGGAAAGGTCAAGGATTGTTAGAGATGAAAAGTTTATGGCAATGGCTGGATGGAAATTGTGATGAAGAGCACACTGTTGTAGGTGTAACTCTGTCAATGAGGGAAGAGATTGCAAAACAGGCAACCAATCAAAGGCATTAGACAGATTAACAAAACTCAATCGAAGATATTGGAGTGAAGAAAGAGATGATATCCACTGAAGATTTTCTTGATACATTGATATCCCATCCTTGTCATATTGATGACCACCAAAGAGATCAAGATAGAGTAGATTTGATAAATTACCAATCTGATGGGGAATCTTTCCAGTAAAAGGATTACCTCTAAGGTCAAGATAGAGCAAACCAGAGAGATTTCCTATTTGGTGAGGAATGCTTCCACTGAATCCCGCAGAAGAGAGGTTCAAATATGTCAAGCTCTTCATTGAACAAAGGAAACTTGGAAACTGCATGCCTCCAAAATAGTTGTTGCTCAAATCCAAGTAACTTAGTTCTTTCAACTGAAGTATCGAAGGATGTATTTCACCCTCAAACCATGATATCTTAGGAACATCAAAATCCCCATATGAGTAAGTAATTGGAGTTGAGAGGTGAAGTTCAAGAATGTGACCTGTTTCATGATTGCAAGAAACTGATGTCCAATTGCAGCAATTTGTGTTATCATCAGACCAAGTGGCAAGCCTGTTTGAAGGATCATGAAGATGTAGCTTGAAATTAAGCAAGGCTTGTCGCTCACTAGAAATGCAAAGAACTTGATCAGATGCTTTGCATTTGCATAAGGGGTTTAGTGATGAGATGAGTGAGCAAATCAAAATGAACACAATGGTATTTTCGCACAGACCCATGATCAGTTTCTTTACTAGAGCTGGCTTACAACTCTACACAAAATTACTGGTATTTATAGTGTTAGAAAGTTGGGGTTTAAGCAAAACTTTCACATAACAGTGAATGACTTCCTAGCAAAGCATTCATTCTATAGGTGTCTTGGTCAATACACGATGACAGTGAGATGTGAAACTTGAGACGATTATGTATGTAAAAGGTATACATAATTCTTTATTATTTATGCAAAGTTATAGCCTAATAGGTCTCATCATTTCCTTAAAAAATCATGGATTTAAGTAATTTTATATGTTATATTCGTCTCCGAATATGACTGTAAAAGTTATAAAAAGTTATTGCTATTATTGGCAAATCACGTACATACGTATACGTTGATGAAAATAATTTAAAGGAACAGTACAACTAATCTTGGAATACAATATATTCTTTCATATGTACCTTTTTTTTTATAAGTAAGGTGTTTATACTTTTTTATATATGTATGAGTGATAAATCTTGAAGAATCTGCCTTTGATAATTTAATTAAGCGTTGATAAATAATATTTAATTGATAAATCTTCATAAATATTATAATTGATTCTAATTAAAAAGATATGTTCATATATTCTTTCTTATAATAAAATCTTTTTCAAATTTCATGAAAAATGAGTGAATATGCACGAAGTTTTCTATTGTCTCTTCCATGATAATTACAAATGACTCCTCTACCTGACTTGTTTGTTGGATCCAAAGAGTTTCTTATACAAGTGTTGGACTTCATAGGATTTCCTGCAGACAAATTAGTCAAATTATCATGAATAAATTTACTCAATTAATATTTATATTTACACTGTTAGACGCATGGTTACAAATTCTGGAAAGTAAAAACATAGTTGGCAAACTTTTTTTTGCACGAGTTAACCATACGAGACTTGTGTGGAGGGTTCTTAACTCATTATTTCTTTTATTTTCCAAAGCTCTTTTCAAATTTAACAGAAAACTTTAAATTTAAAAATAAAAGTTTCCTCATCTCACAATATTTTCATCCTGAACAAACCAAAAACGCATGTATAATCTGTTTTCTTTTCAACTAATTAAAATATTTTAAAAACAACAACAAAAATACTATTAAATGAATATTATGCTTAAATATAATCATAAGAATATTTATATATATAATGTCTTATGTGAATGTCAGGCAAATTAAATAGAAACTTTTTTCTACTATCACTATATGATGGGACAAATCAATTAGGATAAAAGAAGAATCATGGAATTTTCTTCTCCACTCCTCTCTTGCCAAATTCCTTTTCAAATTATGAACAAATTTTTCCACACAAGAAAAGTAAAAGACTCTCACCCTAATGTTTACTTCGAATAGAATACAAAAATTTTCTATCACTACTGTAACAATTGTTCATCTGTTCTGTCTGTTTTAAAGTGGTCACTTTTTGTGAGTCTTCTTTAGTATTTGTCATCAAATGATGTGTGACTATCAATATCAATTTTTTCAGTATAACACTTGATTTACCTCAATTCTGCTAAAATTACAAAAACTTTTCAAATATTTTCACGACCTTAATTTTAATATATATTTTCAACATTTTTTTAATAATTTTTTGGTAAATAATTCTAAAAATATTTTTCTTAATTGAAGTTTATGTTAAAAATGTTTATATGACTATCTAGAAGGCCAAATTGAGAATGACTCCCTAAAAGATTTTTTTTTTTAATTCACATGAACTCAAATTAAACTCAACATCTCATATTTAAGCGTTCCAAACCTCTTTCACTAAGATCAATGTAGGTTGGTGTTTTAAAATGATTAACTTAGGGGGTGTTTGGAAGCACCTAGAAGTACTTTTTCGCAAAACGAGGCAAACTCCTCCACATATTTACTTCATATACTGTAAAAGTGCTTTTAAAATCGTAGTTTTGATTCTATCCAAACACCCCCTTATTCTCATAATTTAACAATCAATGTTTTCTTTGTCGTCAATTTAATGAATCTTAAACAGAAAATAGCATAATATTTAAATAAATATTTTAGTAAACTCTCTTTCCTTTATAATTTTGGTTGGATGAGCATCCATCCAATGTTTATTATCTTTTGGCTTTAGTTTTATTTTACATAGCATTTTCCAATTTTGACATAGTAAAAATAAAATAAAGGAGAATGTAAAGCCCCAGTGAAAAAGTGGGTACAGGACCTACAATGAAAAAATAGTTGATAAAGATAGAACCCGCGATAAACAAGATAGCACAAATTATTTTTTTTTTCAAAAAAGTCAAGTGTGCAGAAAAACTCATTAACTTTTATATAAAATACACCAAACATCATATGCTTTTTGGATGTTCAAAAATGCACATTAAAATGCAAATTAGAGTGTAAATGATACAACTACTAAATAACATAAAGTTTGTTTACTTTTTATAGTGGGATACATGCTATTTAAAAAATATAAAAAGTAAATTTACAAAAATACTTATAAAATTTTTTTTGAAGTACGGGGCAGAGGCAAACATTCTTATATTACAGTACGGGGCAGCATCAGAAGAAGAAGTGTGATGAAAGAAGCATGACAATAATTTAGGAATGGAGGGTGTCGGGTCCCACTAACTGCCAAACTTGTTAAGTCGGCAGTTCAATAGCATGAGGAGCCATTTGACTTTAACCATGTACCGTCCTCACAAATCTCACCACTTTGACCAATCATGTTTCAGTCTGCCTTGCTCGACTCACCAACCATCTTCGACGGCAGTAGAGATGCATGAATCAACTCTGCCCATTATCTGGCAACTTGCACCCACCTTCTCTAACAATCGCAACCATTACGAAAACCACATACTTCTTTGCACCAATTACATTAACTAAATGTCTCGTTTCAACATCATAATCCTTACCTCTCTTCCTTCACCCACATTCAACGACTCCAACAAATCCTCTTCCACCATAAATGCATTGTCTCCTTCTCTGTTCATACCTTCCAAGACTAATCCAAAAATTTATTCATTGCATGTCAAACCCTTGTCAAGAATTCTTGGCTGATAAATAACTCACTTCTTGGTCTTCGAACCCCTCAGTCACTATGAACACCCTGAAGGCACTCCTCTCTTTCAAGAGGATTTGGGGAATGTCAAACACTGGTAAGGTTCTTCATATAAGAGTTGGTTTGACTTTTAATTTGGTCCTAAAAATAAAATTTCAATCCATTTTGTCTCTCATATTTACTTATTTTTTTCATAGTTCTTGTAGTAATTGAAAATGTGAAGGATTTAATCAAATGGTAGTTCTAGCAAACACATATGATTAATGTAGGTATTTTAAGGAAGACAATACATATTTATTACAAATAACTAACTTAAAAAAAATTTTAATTAATTTAAATTAATCAACTAGCTCTTATATTAAGGATTAGAGGTTGTATCAATTATGATCTGCTTTGTTTTCTCCCTCTTCCTGCATTTTATCAACCTGCATGTTGTCAGCTTTCATAAATGCTCAAAAAAAGATCTAAGTTGAGTCGGGCTGGCTACTTCATAGCCCAACAAAGGCCGAAAATGCACATAAAAATGCAAAATTAGAGTGAAAATGATACAACTACTAAAATAACATAAAGTCCGTTTACTTTTTATATTGGGACACATGCTATTTAAGAAAAATATAAAAAGTAACTTTACAAAAATGCTTATAAACTTTTTTTCAAAGTGCGCCAAATAACATATGTTTTTCAAATGTGCAAAAATAAATTGCACTGATCAACGTTACTGTACTGATTTAGATCAAGCGCGCTGATCTACACAAATCTTTCCAAGTCGTTGAAAAAACTGAAAAGGAAAGCATAAAAAATCCAGAAGCTTCAAACGGAGACAATAACTTGAAGATAAGCCAATTGGATTGAACATTTAATTTCAACCCCCCAGTCGAATGGCAATTTTAGAAGCATGGTTGCAAATTCTGGAAATTAGAGACATAGTTGGCAGACTTTTTCCGCACACGAGTGAGCCATACAAAACTTGTTTGGAGGTTTTCGCCTCATTTCTCTTATTTTCAAAAGGTCCTCTCGAATCAACAGAAAAATTTTTGACATTTAAAAAAACAACAGTTTCCTCATCTCACCATATTTTCACCCCAAATAAAACAGAAGCGTATATATGATCCTTTTCCTTTTCAACTGATTAAAATTTTTTAAGAAATAGCAACAGCAATATTTTTAAATATAATCCTAAGAATATTTTTATATATATAACATGTTATATGACTGTCAAGCCAATTAAATGGAAATTTTCTTCCCCGATAACTATGCGATAGGACGAATCAATCAGGACAGAACAAGAATCATGGAATTTTCTTCTCCACTCCTCTCTTGCCAAATTCCTTTCCCATTTATGAACAAATTTTTCCACATAAGAAAAGCAAAAGATTCCTCACCGTAATGTTTACTTCGGGAAAAAAAAAACAATATTTTTCTATCACTGCATTGACAATTGTTCACCTGTTCTATCTGTCTTAAAGTGGTCCCCTTTTATGAGTCTTCTTTAGCATTTGTCATCAATTGATGTGTGACTATCAACGTCAATTTTTTCAGTATACCACTTGATCTACCTCAATTTTGCTGAAATTACAAAAACCATTCAAATATTTTCACCACCTTAGTTATGATATATATTTTCAACATTTTTTAATAATGTTTTGGTAACAAATTCTAAAAATATTTTTCTTGATTGAAGTTTACGTTAAAAACGTTTACATGGCTATCTAGAAGGCCAAATGGAGGATAACTCTCTAAAAGATTTTTTTTTTTTTTAATTCACATGAACTCAAATTGAACTTAGCATCCCATATTTAAGCGTTCAAAACCTCCTTCACTAAGATCATAATTTAAGAATCAACGCTTTCTTTGTCGTCAATTTAATGAATCCTAAGCAGAAAACAGCATAGTATTTAACTAAATATTTTAGTAAACTCTCATTCCTTTATAATTTTCACCGGATGAGCACCCATCCAATGTTTATTTTCTTTCGGCTTTAGTTTATTTTACATAGCGTTTCCCAATTTTGGCGTAGTAAAAAAGAATAAAGGAGAATGTAAAGCCCCAATGAAAACGTGGGTACG